ACGTGTAAAGCTGCAATCACAGTCAATCGCGGACACTTGTTACAACTCACATGTGCCTATTAGAGGACCTCAAGTGGTCACCACCAAAGATAGGTCGCACTCCAGCATTGACAATCGAGAAGACCATCATTGCAATTCTCAAGTCTGATAATGGCAAAAGGGCAGGTCCAACGACAACGACTTGCATGCATCTTGAAATGGAGCTTGAACCGCAGTACAGCCATGAGGCCATGGAGCACCCCAAGGAAGTCTCGTGGTCCCATGGAGTGCTTGTCTGACCAGAAAGAGTGAGAAGAGACAGAATCCACACGAAAAGGAAAATCGGACCTGTCCCAGATGTCACTCCTGGTGAGCTCAGGCTGCCTTCCACGTACCTCAACTCCTTGGTTGTCACTTTGCTCATGTAGGTCAAAAGGTCATCGATGCGATCTGGCAGTCCTGTACCAACAACCAGTGCAATTGCAACGATGACGCCAATGATGACAAGGAGTGAGTATCCTCTGTTGGTGAGGCTTTGATTCCAGTCCAGAAGCTTGATGAGCTCAGAGAAGACCAATGACAAAGTAGTAACCAGAAAGAATGACAAATAGAAAACACCACCAACATGACCATCAGAGGAGCTCGAGAATGGTCCAAGCTCCTCCAGGACAACTCCCAGCACAGACAGGGCAGCCAGAATTGAGGAAATCCCTGCCAGCGGCTTGCCTTCTGCGAGGTTCAGATTCTTATTGTTCTCGCGTGATAGCAAAATCTTCTTTGGGTCGATCTTGTGGCCTCCATCCTTTCCCCCACCAATCTCAGGATCTGGGGTCGGTCCTCCTTGCTCATCTGTCGAAACAGGCTTGTCAACAGTGGTTCTCAGAGGCCCCGGCGTGAACCCAACTCCTTCGGCTTCCTGTTCAAGGAAGGAATCTTCCAAACCTCCAAAATCTTCCTCAACCTCTGCTCCCAATGTGCTCTCACCCTTTGGAACGGAACCTTCCCCAGCAGCTGGCGCAGCGGGAGCAGCCCAAGCCGCTCCGGGGACCCTGACTCCACGTGAGTTCTGGGCGTCAGTACCTTCCATCGTGTTGAGGCGAGTTCACAAGTTCGAATTGTAGAAAGTTTTTGTTTTGGCTTGAGCCAAAATGGCTACTGTAGTGCCCTTATAGGAACCCTTAGCACCCTTTTAGGAAACCTCGTGGGAACCCTTAACCTTAAATCCAATGAGCCTTAAACCCTCAACCCTATAGTACCCTTACCCCTTTAGGAACCCTTACTCAGTGCCCTTATAGGAACCCTTTTTCGGAACCCCTCACCCTAAATCCAATGAGCCTTCAACTTCGAGCTTCCCAGTGCGAATCGAATTCGGCCGGTTTACCCTCGAAAGGTGCCCCAGCGCTGGCGAAGGAAAACACTGGGGTTTAGATCATATTATTAGGGTTGTATAGGGTACGCTATAATATACTCTGGGTTTATTTTTAAGCAGTGGGCCTTTCTCCTGCTGCCACGACCCTGCCTTTGACAGGCTTGCACAAAGACAAAAGAACATGAACAGCACACCCCGTCATCGGAGGAAGGGTTTGGATCATAGTTTTGGGGTTGTATCGGGTACTATAGGACGATCTAGGATTCATATTGTATAGGCTAGGGTTTGAGGTTTGAGGGAACAGTTCATGCACGCAGCTTGGGACCACGCAAGAAAATGGTCTAGTATTAGGGTCAGGGTTTAAGGAGAATCGAACCGCCATCCCTGATACCCGAAGACATAGAAAATACATCATCTCGTAGCAAGCACTGGTGCTTTATTAAGACAGATATACGTACATCTCTGTCTGCGTGTGTGCGTGCATAGTCGTGTGCCGATGGCGTTAAAGGACATTTTAGGTGGAAGCACGACCTTCTTTTGACCTTCCTGACTCCTGCGGCCAGGCTCCAGACTACAGGCTCGGGTTGCAAGTTCCTTCCCCCCTTGACTGACAGTGGCGGGGAATCAGTAAAACGTTCTCTTCCAAGAGCTTCAACAGGATCAGTTTAGGAAAGTTACCTCTTCCACCATGCAAGGTTCAATGACCCTAGCCAGGCGCGGATCCAATCAAGGGCAGTGCATGTGGATACTCCTCCTCTATGCGATCGATGAGGCAACAAATACCCGGACCAATCTGCAAAATGCAGAAGCCTCCACACCAGAGTCCCAAAAAAAAGACAGCCAATTGTTCGAAAATGTCTCGATTCTTGCTATGGACTCTGCAGCTCGACGTCTCGAGCTTTGCGGGAGAATCAGGTCCAGGATACACCCCCGATGTCGCATCTTTCCGCGGCTATAAACTGTGACTGCAAAATGCTGCAACTATCCGCTGAGTCAGGAGAACCGGCAGTAGCAACATCCTGGGCGGGAGCAGAACCATCATGATTGGCGGGGTTTCTACTGGAGAGCCACCCGGAATATTCCAGGCGCTCGGCGAGGGAAGGATGCGAACACAGAGGCAAACATTCAGAAAAAGGGGTCCCAGGGCAACCACGAGCCCTCTGTGGCAGTTTGGAAACTGGTTGGAAAGGGGGTGTTGGTTCCCCTGAGATTCCCCGATCGATGATGCAGCAACGAATTACGAAAGCTCCGGATGACTGCTGGCAAGCTTTCGCCCTGTCTCCAGTCTTCAGATAACAATCTTTCACCCTGTAGGCATCTCAATGTCCGACACGTGAGCTGAAGGAAGACTTCTGCATAGCATAGCCAAGTTTCTATTTGCAGGGAAAGCAGGTGACTTAGCAAATGCTGGTGATTAGTTACTACTTCACAGCTGCTCCCAAACCGAAGTCCAACCCACCCCTCTGCTTCACCAGCTGTCCAGACATAAGCGACCCCGAGAACTCGATCGCTGCTTTGCCGAGCTATCATCTCCCAGAGCTCAATCTGAGCCGTCCAACTCATCAGCTTGATGCGCCTGCCGTGGCTCCACAAGTCTACACATGTGTGTTGAATAGCTACTGCTGTCGTGGGTTTCTGGACTTTCCAGGAAAGCAGTTGTGAGGGCAGTGGGCAGTAGGAAGAGGCCGCAGCCGCCACGGCAATTTACGAAGATGAAGCCGTGTACTGCGTCAAAGCACTGCAAGCCATACCTGCCTCCGACGCCGCTGAAGCCTTTAGCTGCTTTGCCCGTTGGCGCTTCCGACGTTTGATCTCCTTCAAGCTTTCATATTTGCTCCTGTGACCCCAAACGCTACAAAATAGTAGGTCATAACCCCTAATAATTAGAGGGTGGAACCCTTAAAACGGTAGGTTTTTGGTGACCCCTTAGTTAGAGGGTCGAACCCTTAAAACGGTAGGTTCTGGGTAACCCCTTAGTTAGAGGGTCGAACCCTTAAAACGGCAGGTTTTTGGATCCCCAGGAATTCGGGGTCTTTGCTCATTCGTTGCCGCTCCCCGGGAACTTCCAAGTGGATCGACTCTGCGATTCGCCTGCAGCTCCGACATATGGGAGTCTCCGAAAGTGGGGGACGTAATATAAGTACCCTAAATAGTGGGGATCCTTATCAGGACCCCAAAATAATAAGGTACCCCTAATTTTCGGCAACTCCCATATCGTTGCAGCTGCAGCCTTAATTGCTTAAACGCGCTTGCTCCCGTCCGTCGACACTCTCAAGGTGGACAAGCAAGCTCAAAGCATGTCATCTGTCCGAACCGGAACTTCCTTAGCTCGAAGGTCCACATTGCTCTGATCTGCAGCCATGGTGCCCCTTTCCGACACAGGTGGCAGTACGGGCAATTTTCGCCTTGGGCTGATGTCCGCGACTTTCGCAACATCCGAAGACCACTACTCCGGCTGACCTCTCTAAATTCCCTGGATCGCATACACATAGATGCCACAAGCCTGACAGAGGCCATCCTAAAATGACTTCGATGCGCGCCATGCGTAAATGCATCAACGAGAAGATTCTATACTCAGAATCCGAGGCCAGTTGCTGTTTCTGCAGCCATCCATCTTGTAGAGGAAGTAAGCGCAAGGCTTGCACTCACCGCGGTTGTGTGCGGCCTTATCGTCAGTTTGCAACAAAGACCAGAAAACCTGAAGACACTGCTGCTTGACCGTATATAGTGCATCACTTTCTATTGCGGGCTGCGCACGGCTGTGCAGTCTGGTGGCACATCCCGGGTTCAGGACACGAGCCCGCTAAGCAATTCGAGCTCCGGGCCTCCATCTCAGGAAACTTTGTTCGCCAAGTTTTCCTCGACATGCAGGGGTCCCGTCATTTTCTGACGCTCACACTCGGCAACACCAGGCGAGGTCTGAAGAGAGGCTTAGGTTGAAGGGACCCACAGGACTGTCATTAAGGCCCGGAGGTGGGGCGAGTGGATGCTGCAAACCGCCCTCTCGCACGATGTTGCCCGTCGAAGGTGCTAAGTAGACCTACAAGGTACGAAGACATGAAAATCCCCTTTACCCTTTTTGCATCCGGGCTGTGAATCCGGCCCAAGCTATTTCAACCCGACGACACTGAATCCAAAGGAAAGGGTTGAAATATAGGGTTTTTGGACCCATTATACTATAGTTGTAATAAGGATCCCCTTTGAAATACTATAGATAATTCGTAAGGCCCCTTATAGTGCCCTATGGTAACTGGCCGAAGGGCTGTACCAAGGCGGCAGGAGCCGACTTCCAGTTGGTGTCCGGAGTGACTTGAATCTGCCAGAAAAACGAGGCTTGTAGTTGAAGGTCAAGGGTTTACGCTTGGTACAGTTCGCGATTTGTGCGTGTCATGCTTGCGCAGGGGCAATGCTAATCTTCTCTGTACCGTTCCAATTTTATCGGATGATCCCCGAAGGGATTAGGGTTTAGGGTTTCGGGTGTCATGGCTTGACATAAAGTTAGATGACAACTCATTCATGCTTGACAAGCTTCCGTTTTGTTGACGAACTTATTTTGAAGCTTCTCACGGGGCAAACGGCAAGCTTCCTGATGAGGATCTTTCCGTGTCATTCAGAGGCAAAGCTGGCCACTCCGGTTCTCGCCGCGCCTCCGTCATGGAGGAAGCAACAGGAATGTTGTAAAACGTGTTCTTGATCTCAAGCTTGCCCAGAAATACATCCTTGGCCGATATCCACAGGAGTGCTGCAGCATGTTGCTGCCATCGTCCTGTTCTTGCTGCATCAGGCAGGTCCGACCGGCATCTTGCATAACGGCTCGCAGATGAATCCCTAGAAGCATCCAAAAGCCCCACTTCCTTTCCAGGTGTCTTCCTGCAGCTGCTCGTCATATGCATCACCTGGCTTTGGGTTAGAGTGGTTTCTAGGGTATAGGATCATAGGGGTAGGGGTACTGCCTGGGATCACGGATCAACGGAAAACCACACAAGGCTCATGAGGGCCGCTAAAATGCAGAAATGGCACTCCAGTCAAGACGACCGGGACTGGGAATCGGCACCTGCTTTCGCGACACTTCCCCAAGTGGCGTATGATGCTTTTCTAAGGCTTCGGGGTTTCAGATGTCGTGCTTAAGGCGGCCCTGCCGGACTTTGAAGGCCAAGGCAATACCGAGAAAGCAGGAGCCGCGAGCCAGTCGAATCAAGAAACTCTTCTGAAGACAGAGAATCGATTTCGGTGTGCTAGTTGCCCAAGCATGAATTCTGAAACTGCTCTGGGCTCTCTGGTCTTGCACGTGCCACGCCTAGCTAGGTGTCGTATGCTTTGCTTGGGCCCTCGCGATTGGGAAGTTGGAAGTTTGCTGGAACTGGCAAGTTAACTCGGGCTTCGAAAGCTGTCCCGAAAACCATGACTCCTGACCTTTGTTATCTTTAAAGAAGGCTCCCGACTGCAGGGTCCACGGATCTACATATGAAGCTACGCCGAAAGGGAAACCCATATCACCACAGTTTACCAATGTGGTCATTCCTGAAATGTCCTCCTTTGTGGAAGTCATGTACCAGGTTTCTAATGTACCAAAATTCTTAAAGCAAGTAGTAGTAGTAATAGTAGTATATGTAGTAGTAGTAGTAGTAGTAGTAGTAGTAGTAGTAGTAGTAGTAGTAGTAGTAGTAGTGGTGGTAGCAGTAGCAGTAGTAGCAGTAGTAATAATAGCAGCAGTAGCAGTCGCAGTCGCAGTCGCAGTCACAGTCGCAGTAGCAGTAGTAGCAGTAGTAGTAGTAGTAGTAGTAGTAGTGGTAGTAGTGGTAGCAGTAGCAGTAGTAGTACTAGCAGTAGCAGTAGTAGTAATCGCAGCAGTAGCAGTCGCAGTCGCAGTCGCAGTCGTAGCAGTAGTAGCAGTAGTAGCAGTAGCAGTAGTAGCAGTAGTAGCAGTAGTAGCAGTAGTAGCAGTAGTAGCAGTAGTAGCAGTAGTAGCAGTAGCAGTAGCAGTAGCAGTAGCAGTAGTAGTAGTAGTAGTAGTAGTAGTAGTAGTAGTAGTAGTAGTAGTAGTAGTAGGAAGTATTGTTATTAGCCGTAGTAGCAGTATGTACTAGTAGTAGTGTGATTGCCTTAGGGTGCCCCCACCTCGGCTGCAGCTTGAGCCGCACTGACTTCAGACGCCGTAGAACCTTCGACAGCTTTCTCGTCTTGCAGATTGTGGTCGGAAAGTATCTCAAACAGGAGTTCCAGACCGACAATCCTTCCGAGAGTTTTCCGAGCATGCCCATTGATAATCTGACTTTTCCTCTTCGCGTTGATGACGGGCTGTTGACGCAGTGCCGGCAGACAAGCTTTCTGACACTCACCAATTTGAATCAACGACCCGTGATCAATGAACGTGAGATCCTTTATAAACCCTGAACGGAACGAGCTTTCAACACAGGACGGTTCGGGCGCGCGTGGCTTGCTTCGACTCACACACTTGCACGAAGCGGAGGTCAGAGTCAGCTGAGATAAGAAAAGCCGAGATGGAGGTGAAAACACCCAGAACCAACAAGACCTGGCTTATTTCGACCCAGTACATGTATAGGAGCCCCCTGAACATGATCTGACTTCGACGCTGGAATACATGAGTGCATCATGGCAAAGTGGATGGAAAATGACATCTAAGAACATGCGAAGTGACTGCCCATTTGCCAGCCTTGGGATTCCCAGGCTGGATCGCTGATCTTGTCTACTATGCTGCCGATGTAGCTCTCCATGGCGCGGCCAAGAGGGGCTTCCATGATTGCTAGCGACTGCATGTTGACGTGTGCACCTAAAACACTATACATTAGAGGAATGTCACGGACGTTGCTCTTCGGCCCGAAGCTAATGAGGGGGCAGCTCGTACCGCCCTCCCCCTCGAACCTCGGACGCTCTGAACTGCGGATGCATTCCTAGTTTACAAACGTCCAACAACGATCCGTGGTGTGGACAGCTCCGTCGACGTGTGCAGCATACCGACCCCGCCAAACATGATGGGGCGGAACGAAACAGAGAATGCAAGGCTCAACGAAGCCCCGAGACCAAAGGCGCGTGGGAAAGTCTTTAAGCCATCTATCGAGCGGACAGAATCACTTCGGGGCGGGACCTAGAGGAAGCTGCACCGAAAATGGATCCAGTTGTACGCAGGGCTTGTTTTGAGGTCTTCGGGTCTTGCAGAAGCCATAGCTCGCTGCACCGGAAAGGCTCCGAAGAACAAAATTCGTAAAGTGCACGTCGCACGGATGGTGGAAACAAACGCATGGGGCCGGCATCCCCCGATCACGACTACGGCGTAGTGCATCGTAGTACGGTGTGATGGGCTCTCTTATTTGATCAGGCGCTCCAGAGCACGTCTGTGTCGTGTTTCTTGGAATCTAGTCGCGCAGAGCACCTGAAACAACTGACGACCCCAAAGCATGCAGCAGCAAAGTGCCAGGCAATCTTGGCTTTCGCCTTGGGCTCCAGTCGTTGTGGGGCTGCCGTCACCGACCTAAACTGCAAAGGCGCGCATCTTCGTCGGTTTAGGGTTTAGGGGCTTTTAGGGTGTAGAGTGTAGGGAATCTGGCTATCCTGTGCTTTAGCCGTTTCAACTTATAGCTGTCCTCCGAAAAGCATGCAAAGCATGTGCAAGCTTCATGTCGTTCTGTCTGACACGTGCGTCAACCCATGCATAGATTCGTCAACCTCATGGACTCTTGCAAGCGCTACTGTTAATTTACATCAAAGCATAATAGTAACAAGAGCAATAATAGTAACAGTAGTCTTGCTAGTCTGGGTCTTGCACGGAGTAGGCGGTGCCAGGCTCGTGCCACTGTCACCTTGGCAAAGCCACCATGCTGCTAGAGCCCTGTCGTGTCGGAAGAAGGACCAAAATAGAGGATCCCGATCGGCAACAGCACTGTCTGTCGAACGTCACTCAGCAGCAGGGAAAGCTTCATGTTTAAATTGTGTTTTATGCTCATCATAGTCTGTACATTGGTCGTGTTGGGCTGCTGCCGTATACTGTACTTGGACAGCTGCTTGCGTTCATGGACAGACTTCTTTTGGCTTCCCAGCTGTCTTCGGAATTTGGAAAGACACACTAAAGGGGATGTATTGTGTGCCAGGGCATGTGCAATGCAATGTACGCGTGCCTGTAACGATTGCAGACGGCAGTTCCATGAAGCTTATGCTATCTTACGCTGCTCTGGCATAATCTGGCATGAAGTCATGGGTGCAGCCAAGCAGCGGCAAAAGTGGATGAACCGCCTCAATTACAGTGACTGCCCGCGATAAGCTCTACAGTAAGTTCTGCAAAGGCGACAAGTGGAAGGCTCTGCGCTCTTCCTGTGCTGAAACAAACTTCAGACCGATTCTGATCGACTTAAAATGGTGAAGCAGAACACACAAAGCAAATACATATACATATACATGCATTGGTATATATGTGTACATTACATTGCGCCACGCACAATAGAATATATTACTATGCGTTACACTGACTTACACTGTGTACTTTACGTAGATTACGTAATACAGACAGACATACACACATATACATAAATGCATACCTCCTCCCGACCTACCTTACCGATGTACCCACATACTTACACACGAACATACGTCCATCCATCCATCCATCCATGCATGCTTACGCACATTCAGACATGCATGCAAACATAAACGTTTTGATGTTCAGAGCCCTCAGGTGCTATGCCACTTGTTGTTAACGAGTATGGTGAAATCATCCGCACCCAAAGATAGAAGGCCAAATGTTACCAACTGAGCTGCGAAGTGCTTCTTGGCAGCTGGACCCCAAAAACCCAAACGCTGTCCATCTGTCGACTCAATTACCAACTCTCTGAGACCCTTTTCCGGAGCTCAGATTTGGGGGAGGCCTCAGTCGAGACAGTTCCGGCACTGCTTTTGTGCTGGGCCCATGGGGTTAGCTGTGGCCTTCTGTCGCCCGGATCCCCACCAAACGCAAAGCAAAAAAGCTCAGTCAAAGAGCGCCCCATGCGGCGTGAACCGGCCGGTGGTGGGCTCGAAGAGACTGGAGGACCAGGCCTGCCAAAACATGTGGGATGTGGCTATGTACGCATAGGTGTGTGTATGTATATATATATATACATATATACATATACACATATATACATATATACATATATATATATATACATATATATATATATATATATGTATATATATATATATATATATATATACATATATACATATACGGGTAGGGAGAGAGAGACAGAGAGAGAGAGAGAGAGAGACATACACACATACGCTTGTCTGGTTTTGGTTTATTGCTGGTTTGTTGATCTGTTACATATGTGCATAAGTTATACCTATTTGATCCTATTTGTGTGTATATATATAAGTATATTCAACTATATACGGTTATTTATATATAACTATATACACTTATAGAATTATTTACACAATAATACATACATGTATAATTATGTGCATTTATACTAAATTTATACAGAGATTTGTCATAACTATAAGAATACTATATTCTGCTGTATCGTATTATGCTGAACTACCGTATATTGTATTGTACTGATGTCTTATTATACTATATTGTAACGTCCTATACGCAACCATACTGTAAAATGCTTCATCGCATTATACTATACTGTGATACATATGCTCCGGAGCAAAGCGATGCCCCTGCCCACACTTTGACGAGGAGTCAAAATGACCCCTTCGGCCTCGTAGGTGTGTGGCTTGTAAGAGCCTAGAGTGAAGGCGCCCATACTCCATTCGGAGAACCTTCAGTCTGTGCCGAAGGCTTGAAGCCTACGAACTCCCCGCAGTATTCGAGGCAGGCTTTGTATCAATTCTGTCAGCATACGTCAGCCGTGTTTCACCAGCCGAATAACCCGAGACTGGGCTGAAAGCATCGGCAGAGCGCCGAAGAATGAACAACAACAGGCAAAAGAGAGCAAGCGGCATGCAGAGCCGCGTAGCAGTTGCGGGCTCTGTCCCGAAATCATGAACATGTCAGAGCATGTCTTCTCTGCAAGCAGAGTGCCAGCTGATGCGCTCCACAAATCCAAAAAGCTGCCGATTCTGAAGGCCATTAGTCGGGTTCCTCAGTTCTCAGTTGCAGCCCACCCATGCCCAAAAGTACATCAAACGCTTCTGACCTTGCGAAGCATAGTGTACCTTCACCACCGCCACTTGCAGACGTGCATCATCAGCTGATCGACGAATGTGACGAGATCCTCGGCCTCGTTAGTGCCCATGGTCACCTGTAAAGGTTTTCAAGATAGGAGCCACCGGCGGCATGATGCCAACGGGCCCGGTACCAAAGCCCTTAATGCTGAGTTGCCCTTAAAGCATGTCTACGGAATGCTCATCTGGGCGTGCTTGCATGAAGGAACAAGGAAGTGGCTTCCGATTCATACTTAGCGACTCACATGATGCTTAGCAGCTGATCTGGAGAACGGCATACTCACTTCTCCATACCAAAATCAAAGCCAGCTTTCCCAACTGTGCGACCAAGACGATGCTTGCGAGACGCCGGTGGCAGCTGAAAGTCTTACACTCATGTCATGGTGATGATGATCATCATCATCAATATGGTATTCACATGGCTTTCACGTGCCTCGGTAAGCCAAAGCGTCTTCTTCGTCCTGCCGGAGGTGCCTTCGAAATCCTCCAGGAAGACCTGGCGCTGTCCCAAGGCCTAAATGAGCCCACCCTAGGGTTTTGATACCGGTAAGAGCCAAGAAGAGCAGCATCGCCCATGCATGGTGCAGCAAGAAGGGCTCAGTGGACTCAGTGGACTGTCGCATGGGCCCGGAGCATGCACGCCGCTGAGATTGTCATCACGTTTTTTTGGATAATTCTGGGACGTGCTCTGGCTCCGTAACCATGTCAGAGCTAGTTGGATGGTTATCCGCAAGCGGCGCCGAGAGAAGACACATCTCGTTGCCAGAGCTCCCGAGCCTTGTGGTACTCATGGAGCTTGTCTTTAATCTCTTGCGCGGATCCTCAAGCTGCCAGATCGGTCACCAGGTTCGGAACCAGCCGTCACACACGTGCGAATGTCAGCTGAGACCGGGAGAAGAAGCCAAGTAGATGCCAAGCGTCTTCCATATGCGTGGATGGGCAGTGCTTCAATGACATCCTGAGCAAGATTCAGATCAACACAAATCAAACATATTCGAGGCATATCGTTATTTTATGGACGAGCGGAACCATTTGCCACCGGTGTCTCGTGAGTCATCCGTACGAAAAAAGTTGCCAGCACAGGCCCCCAACAGTAAAAGAACATACCACTTGCTAAAGGTAGCACCAACACGAATACTCATGCTGATGCCGATACCATTACAGGACCACCTCGGAAGGCACGAGCCCAAAATGCTCAATTCTCGGGCTCTGCGACCAGAATCAAACTAGTCCGGATTTGCGAGACCTCTACAGAAGCGTGAAAGAGTCGTGCAGATGTGGAGTCGGCACCCTCAGCAATTTGTATCGTAACTGACTCGAAACACCCTCCACCCAAAATCCTGAACCGAAAGCCCTAAACCCTGAACCCTAACCCTTTTTGCTGCAGGCTTGCTTGCAAGGACGCCTGGTTGAACCCTAAACCATGTCAAGAAGGGCGACCCAGCAGTTCGTCAGCCGCCCTTGGAGGCTGGTGCATTGCAGCGTCCTTAGGTCATGCGCTTCGGGTTTTCGTGTCTTAAGGGGTCGGGCTTCAAGGCTTAGGTTTTCTCTTTTTAAGGGTTTAGGGCTCAGGGCTGCGACGAACAAAAGGGCGGTAATAATTCGATTATTCCTAAAGGTTCCTTCACCTGTTTTCCGCACGTTTCATTTTCCCTCCAATAGCCCTGTTCGAATCATGAGGGCCCCAAAATTATGGCGAAACAGCTGCGCAAGACTGCAGCAGTGTAATGTAGGGGCCTGAATGATTACCAATACTATTTCGGGGGTTCCTTTTTACAAGTATATAGTAGAATGGGCCCCAAAACCCTAATCATTGAGGGCTATACTATAGAGCCAATTAAGAAACCTTTTAAAGGGAAGCCTCGTCTTAAGTGAACTGCCCGAGGCTCAGAGCTTTGGCTTTGAAGGCCTTGAGCCAGCCACGGCAATACTTCGTGGCGTTTGGAAGCACCTTGGATGGACCGGCGCCGCGAGGAGTTTAGGGGTTCACACTCTCGCAACTCGGACTGCGCCAGACTCTGTCTCTCGATCCGTGGGATAGCTACGACTAACCACTGAAGCTTGCCCTCAGCTTAGGGGTTTAGGGTTTCGGGCTTCACTCAAACATGATATGATGGGAATAGCTTTGTAGTACATAGCAGGTGCTCTTTGTGCTACTGTCACCACGCCTACTACTACTTCTGCTGCTGCTGATGCCCACTATAGAAATCACTGATGTGATAATACACTGGGGATTCTGCTGACATCTGCTGGCATGTACAAACTTATACATCAACAAACGCCTTGGAGGCAGTTGCGATGCATTGCTGTTTTGACGCACTGCGCCAACGGTCAAACACTCCCGTGGTGGCCAAGTGCCATGGCGCATGTTACAAGCAGCTTATGCAAACGTCGTGATGGATTCCACCCGTATGATGCTGCCATGCGCTTTGTACAGCACCAGGCCAATACACTTCGACATCCAACAGCACCCCCACTTTCCGGAACCACGGCATTTTGCACGACCCGGAACACAGCCCTGCTATCTGAAAAATGCTCCCAGTCACAGGATCTCGGCTGCAGTCGTCTTCCGGCTGGGCTGCCTCATGTTCACGAAGGATGTGCTTGTTGGGTTCAGGATCGGGAAGATGTCGTAGGGCTCTTCGACGTGTCACCCTGCTTCACCGGTACACATGGATATTAGCTTCGAAAGACTGTCAATACTCTGTCCATCTAAACCCACCCTTGTCTAGGTTGGCCCTTAAAGCCTTCGATGAACATTCGCGCATAAGATCCTCCTAAGCCTAAGGAGGGAAAGTATAGAATGTCCCGAAGGGCTACCTGGCTTTTATGGTCCATCGCGATGGTGAGAACCACATTGAGGCCGAAGCCTGAGCCATCGCCGGCGCCGCAATCTTGCGCACGGATCCTGGCTCTGTGTAGTGCTTATCATATATTTGTACAACTTAGTAGTAAATGAAACACAACATGCTCATATCCAAAACTTGTTCGCAGGCATGTACTACCCACGGCAGTGCAACTGTCTGTACCATGTCTGTACGTATTTATGCACAAGGGCTTTATCTTACACATCTCGCGTTGCAAGGACATGGAATGGAAGGCTTGTGGAAAGCAAAGGGCAAACACATCAAGGCTTACGCGGGAAGTAGTCATCTTGCGGAAGGACTAAAAGGACTACGCTGGCTGCATAGTCATCTTGGGGGGCATAGCGGTTCGCACACACTTGGGCACAGCTTGGTCTCAAGACAGTATCGACTTCCTTTTTCTTGAACCCTCTTTTCCTCCTGCCCGTGAAGTTAGTTGGAATGCCCTGCGGGCTGACGGGCTGGTCCACAGTGCTATAATCCCCACAGACTGCAAGTAAGTAATCGATACCATGACAGCACCACCTAGCAGTATCGACTTCCAGACTTTAGGGTGAGGGCTTTCAGAATACAGGGACCCAGGACCGGAGAGGGTGTAGGACCTAAGAGAAAGACGTCTGGAGGTTCAGGGTCCATGGTAGTGGCTCGTGATTCAGCTTCTTCTGCGATTCCTGACAGGGGCAGTGACCCACAACTACAACTGCACCTGCCCTGGCTACCGGAAATACACGTAAAAGACACACAAACTGCATGGGGCCTCCGCTCTCTTTGGCGACCTTGTGCGGAGTTTCTGCATTCAGCCGAACCATCGGATTCGTGTCAGGTGTCAACAAGCTTGCTCAGTGGGAACTCTTAGCCATACAAATCCCGCATGTGTCTTGCAACAGGCAAATGTACTTCCATCAAGAGTAGTCAGATTGGTGATCTGAGGCCGAAGCACTCGCCAGCTTGGCCCTGGGTGCCGATGTTGTTTTGCTTTGGCTTCGGAGAGGGATCGGGGAAAGGGCTGACCCCTCAGTTACATGACTTTTCTCCGTTGCGTGAGGGTCGGGAGATTCGCGGTTCGGGACTGTGCATCCAAGACCCATGCCTTTCTCTGCAGGCCAATCGAAATGACATCGTCAGTTCCAACGCAAGGATCAAACATGCATCCAAGCTGCACCAAAATCTGCCAGGCCGTAGCAGCTTTCACGGGGTCAAACAGGGAGGCGAAGCCCGCACCTCAGGATGCTTGGATGGTGGGGAATGGGAGTTGACCTTCGAATCAGTTTGTTGAGCCCCGAGCTTGTCGCTGGTCTGTAATCCTTCTCACCTCAGATGATGGCAGGCTCGATACTTGAGACCTGACTGTGGCTGCTTAAGCGGGACCGCCGAAACGGGATAGGCCCTTGAATGATCTCACAGCACTTTAAACCCATGGCGAACATCGGCGAACATCTTCGAAAGGACTCGAAAGATCTCGCTTGCAGGCTGGGTGACCACAGCCGAAGGTCCCCGCGGTTGTCTCCCCGGCGCAGGCAGGGCCGTACCTGCTCGAAGAGACGTCATGACGACCAACGAATCACACTAAACGAACAAAGGACGCCGAGCGAGATCAGGCTCTGACCTCAGGCTTGGGTCGGCAATGAAGCCAGCTTGGGCAGGATGCCAACCGGGACTATAGTATCCATTCAGGGCGGGTTGTGACTCATAGTACGTATCCATTCCACGATCTCTTTACAGGGCGTTGCTTGCGGCGTCCCTTCTCTCCGCCATGTGCCCAACCACTGCGATCTGTCTCGGCGGCGACATGAGTTCCCTGCTTCGCAACTTGCCATAGGAAACCAGCACAGCCCACGAGCAGGACCGACATCGAACTTTCGCACAGAAACGATGACCCAAAATACTCGACAACCGAAGAATCAGCCTCGAGCTAACAGGTTTAGCAGCTTCCACGCAGCCCCGCAAATTTGCAAGGGCACTGGTCCGGCTCATTATAACCTTCGGAGCACTTCGCTCAGGCAGAAGAAGGCCATCAGGAAAACTTCAGCAGCAAAACCAAACATGAAACATTCAACCTTCTCTGAACATGCATCACAAATTGAGCCACCAAAGGTGACGACTCGTCTGCCAAGCCACCCATGATGTACTCGCCTCCCAAATGAAAGAAGCCTTTGGAAGCTTCTCTGCTGACCATCTCGCTTAGTCTGAAAACTACTTGGAAATAAAGCGAGCGAGTGAAGAGATGCGTGTGTGTTTGTGTTATTCTGCTGTACATGCGATAAACTTTGCAGGGGGCCAGGAACCAATATCACCTGTCCTGGCCAACGAAGACCAGGTGATATTGGGGTGCAAACGTACCTGCTATCGGTGGACCGGACCCATATCCACCAAAAAAGTCTGGAGCTTTTCGTTGCTTTCGACGTACAGTTGTCACCCACAGAAGGCAGGCGGGTCAGTAGAAACCCTTTCAATTGTGTTCGACAAGAGCTCCCTCATGAGGGCCTTGTCGCTTTTCGGCGAAGTTGCCGGCCCACCGCGGTGCTTGTGTTAGCAGATCTGGAAATCAGGTAGGATGGCGACAGCTTTTGCTGCGCAAACATGTTCAAGTGGAGATCACTGTGCGGAGATCACTTGTACAGACCTGTGACGTGTTGTGTTGTCGACACACTAGCGTTGCCATTGATCGTGAACGCAGGGGGCAGGAGTACAATCTCGAGGTCAGTTATGCAAGCAGATCGGATTCTGCTTGGCATATGTGCAAGAGTACAATCTCGAGGACGGTTACGGTTCACCAATTATAGGTACAGACTCCCATTTTTACACGACTGTTGTTCCGAAGGCCACAAATCTCGCCGTGGTTTTTGGATATCGAATGCAGTTATTCGACAGACTACGTATTGGGTATTTTGTGGCTCAATTTACAAAATGAAACGGATGGCAAGTATGGCGGCCCTACCCGCACCAGTATTCAGATCAATCGCAATGTGTGCGATTGGCAAGAGAATGGTATTATTCAGTTATTCGACAGTCTACGTATTGGGTATTTCTTGGCTCAATTTACAAGATGAAACGGATGGCGGATTCCACTAATTCCACTATTGATGACTTGTTCGGTCTGCACATCCAATGCATGTATGCAGGAGTACAATCTCGCGCCAGATTGTTCTTTTCTTTTTCTTTGTGTCTCTTTGTTTCTCTCGGGTTTGCTGGAAGGTCGAGGTCTGGAAGGTCAAGGTGAAGGTTTGGTCTTCCTGGTTTGTTTTTTGCGGGTTTGCTGGAAGGTCGAGGTCTGGAAGGTCAAGGTGAAGGTTAGGCAGGTTTGTTTGTGTTATTCTGCTGTACATGCGATAAACTTTGCAGGGTTTTTCTTTGTGTCTCTTTGTTTCTCTTGGGTTTGCTGGAAGGTCGAGGTCTGGAAGGTCAAGGTGAAGGTTTGGTCTCCCTGGTTTGTTTTTTGCGGGCTTGCTGGAGGGTCGAGGTCTGAAAGGTCAAGGTGAAGGTTAGGCAGGTTTGTTTGTGTTATTCTGCCGTACATGCGATAAACTTTGCAGGGGGCCAGGAACCAATATCACCTGTCCTGGCCAACGAAGACCAGGTGATATTGGGGTGCAAACGTACCTGCTATCGGTGGACCGGACCCATATCCACCAAAAAAGTCTGGAGCTTTTCGTTGCTTTCGACGTACAGTTGTCACCCACAGAAGGCAGGCGGGTCAGTAGAAGCCCTTTCAATTGTGTTCGACAAGAGCTCCCTCATGAGGGCCTTGTCGCTTTTCGGCGAAGTTGCCGGCCCACCGGGGTGCTTGTGTTAGCAGATCTGGAAATCAGGTAGGATGGCGACAGCTTTTGCTGCGCAAACATGTTCAAGTGGAGATCACTGTGCGGAGATCAGCCTTTCGGAAATCACAGTGGAGATCACTTGTACAGACCTGTGACGTGTTGTGTTGTCGACACACTAGCGTTGCCATTGATCGTGAACGCAGGGGGCAGGAGTACAATCTCGAGGTCAGTTATGCAAGCAGATCGGATTCTGCTTGGCATATGTGCAAGAGTACAATCTCGAGGACGGTTACGGTTCATCAATTATAGGTACAGACTCCCATTTTTACACGACTGTTGTTCCGAAGGCCACAAATCTCGCCGTGGTCTCGGATATCGAATGCAGTTATTCGACAGACTACGTATTGGGTATTTTGTGGCTCAATTTACAAGATGAAACGGATGGCAAGTATGGTGGCCCTACCCGCACCAGTATTCAGATCAATCGCAATGTGTGCGATTGGCAAGAGAATGGTATTATGCAGTTTTTCGACCGTCTACGTATTGGGTATTTCGTGGCTCAATTTACAAGATGAAACGGATGGCGGATTCCACTAATTCCACTATTGATGACTTGTTCGGTCTGCACATCCAATGCATGTATGCAGGAGTACAATCTCGCGCCAGATTGTTCTTTTCTTTTTCTTTGTGTCTCTTTGTTTCTCTCGGGTTCGCTGGAAGGTCGAGGTCTGGAAGGTCAAGGTGAAGGTTTGGTCTTCCTGGTTTGTTTTTGCGGGTTTGCTGGAAGGTCGAGGTCTGGAAGGTAAGGTGAAGGTTAGGCAGATTTGTTTGTGATATTCTGCTGTGCAAGCGATAAACTTTGCAGGGTTTTTCTTTGTGTCTCTTTGTTTCTCTTGGGTTTGCTGGAAGGTCGAGGTCTGGAAGGTCAAGGTGAAGTTTAGGCAGGTTTGTTTGTGTTATTCTGCTGTACATGCGATAAACTTTGCAGGGGGCCAGGAACCAATATCACGTGTCCTGGCCAACGAAGACCAGGTGATATTGGGGTGCAAACGTACCTGCTATCGGTGGACCGGACCCATATCCACCAAAAAAGTCTGGAGCTTTTCGTTGCTTTCGACGTACAGTTGTCACCCACAGAAGGCAGGCGGGTCAGTAGAAGCCCTTTCAATTGTGTGTATATGTACGTATATGGGGACAAAGAAAGCGTGGGAGACAGTTGAAGCACAAAACATCTACCGATCCGTCCCTACATACATACATACATACATACATACATACGTACATATACACATAGACATATACATACATACATACATATATATATATATGTATGTGTATGTACATGTGTATACATATATGTATGTCTTTACACATTATTATAATATATACACATATCTATTAATTCTTCTTCTGTTTATGTTTCGAGAATACATGTACGGCGTGTGAGGCGGGCGTGAACGGGTGTGCAGGTGTGTATGCATGTATACATTTATGTATGCATATGCAGATATAACTGTGTGTATGTCTATATGTGGAGATGTACTAGGAGAGAGCAAGAGACATAGAGTTTGAGGGAGAGGGTGGCAAAACAGAAGCCTGACTCCGCGTCGGTCTCTCTTACCGTTCCCACGTACACTGCCATAAAGTCATCTGCGCAAGCGAGGTATCAACAGCAGCTTGTGGCCATGGTATTCCACATGAGTATAGGGGAAGTGACAACGAAAATAGATTTTTGATGTTTAATATGTATGCACATGCATATTGGACTGCAGCGGGATATCCTTCAAACCCTATTCAACCTTCCATCGCAGCCGGGCGGCTATAGTCCTTAGGCATCTTCGTTCCCCAGATCATCGGGGTGAATGTCTTCTTCGCTTTCTTCACCACCTGGCAAAGCAAGCTAGGTTTTTTGTTTCTTCCTCGGCTATTGACTAGGGTTCATGCTTCGGCTTTTGGGGGGTTAGGGTGGTGCACCTGTGAATCCCCTGATGCAGGCACATGTGCCGATGAAGTGCGTAGTCACGGAAGGATCGACTCAGCAACTCCGGCAATCTTGCGCCACCCTGAAGGAAACCTTCCTGTAGCCCTCATCGTAACCCTGTGTATACATATACAGACATGTCAAAACATAGTATCCTAGTATGACATACCATCAAAAAGCAATAGAAATGACGTGTAATCACATACACTAGCTGAGCTTGCAAAGCTCTTGGAACCCAGGGATGCTAACCAGATACCCCAAGCGCCCCCACGGCAACCGAGCCTGAGGTGGCAGGTGGCTGTGGTCCACTCTTACGTCCTGGCCGTCTTGCACAGCACTATTTTGGCATGAATGATTGATTCGATTAGGGGTCTGAGATACAGTGTAGGTATGTTTGTATTTCGGAACCCGCAGGAATCGTCGGAATAGTATTGGTAATTATTGAGCCCCAGTCTATCTCACGGGCTGGGCTCGCACAGGGCATGTGCAATTGATTAAGAGACAATGATCATGACAATCATGAATCCTGCCCAGGCAATACAGGTCTTGCATCCAAGTAGTCACAGACTGCGCCCATTGCTGAGCTCCGTGCATAGTCCCAGTTCCACCAAAAGTCAATCGCGTTTGAATTCATACTGGTCTCCTGCGGCAGTGATACACAGTTCTGACAGCGCTTGGCCTTGATCCTCCTTCTTGTCCTTTCCTTCTTCAGGGGTAGCCAACACAAAACCGCACCCAATTGCAAGCCGGCAGTATTGCCTCGAGTCTGAAGCCCTCTGCGAGTCCACCCTAATCCCTAAACCGTCCAGGCATTGCGGGCAGTCAACAAAGGTGTTTGTGCCAACTCCGCACAGCAGGCGGTCGGCGGCCTGACCAGCAAGCTCATCGTTGCATCACGATTGGCTCAGCCAGTGTATCACAAACTTGAAACGATATGTACTACACACTGCATATATATATATATGGTCACCCCCCCCATGATCCATACCATGCTTTTTTCTACCTGTTGCTGCTCATGCTTCGATTTCTACATGACTTCACCTACATACAAAATCATCGGTATTTGCGGTATTTTCTGCACCTAGCATCTACTTAACTCTACATTTTATAATTTGTTCTCACATGTTATATCCCCACGAAGCCCGAAACGGATTCTGATTTCACTTTCGGGCTCCGCTCTTCCGTCCAAAACCTGGCACTCCATGTTTCAGGAGGCATCACCGGTGGTTGTGCAAAAACTTCAACATGTTGCCTGTCACTGTCCACATGTGTTGGTGCCGATGCCAATACTCAAACTGGCAGCTTCGAGTCATTGCCTGATTGCCTGGAAAGCGTGGTACATACTTCAAGTGTGTTCATAATATTATAGTACGAACGCTAACACTACAACTAATACTTATCACAATAATATTTATACTAACATCAATATTTGCAATAGTATTGATACTCCTACTAGTACGAATACATAAACTCTTGTGGTGTTAACAGAAATGCTATCAACAACACTGATACGGATATTGATCATCTGTTGAATACTCAAGAATGCCAGTACTATTACCAGCATGAACACTTACATTATGGCTAGTACGACTATGAGTAGTCCTAATTCCAATATCAACATTAATACTCCTACGAATACCAGTAGTATATTCGTATTGATATGAATACTAATCTCTTTACTAATAGACAACTGCATATACTAATGTACATAAAAAATACATACCACTATCTTAAGATACAGATATATACATTAGTGCATTCATGTACTAATGTCTTGGCATAAGCATATACCCATATACCAATGTAGCAGTATACTTCTCGTTGTTGTATGAATATACTATACTAACATGCGAGTATACTAATATACGACTACTGCAATATGCACGTATACCGACATGACAAATTAGTAGACTAACATGCCAACATACTGATATACTTGTAAATATGACTCGACAATACATGAATACAGTACACATACTAGTAAACTAATACACCAAAATACTAGTGTACTCGTGCACCAGTTGTACTAACATATCAAAAATACTAGTATACAAATATACAAATATGTTACTGTTCGAATACATTAATGTATTGATATACTAGTCTGCTACTATACGTAACTATCAAAATACTACGATATCAAAACTAGTTCTAATATTGATACTAATACTAGCACTTCTGCGAATATAAGCTGCGATTAAGCCCAGCATTAAGACTGACACTGATACTAGCAGTGGTGCTGTATTACTGACATTGACACTGGCACTAGCGCGAACTCTAACACGAGCATGAGCACTAACACTAATTCATATGTAACTAATATTGACATGTATACTTACAGCGAACACTAGTACTAATATTAATCACAATACTCATCCTAATATCGATACTTCCACAAAACCATTACGTAACTCATGTGCCGCACGCCTGGTGCATGAGTCCTCAGTACATGGCATGTCAAAGTATATGTTGTATATCTACTGCAAATGTTTCACTTTACGGATTGTCGTCGGGTGTGGTGTGCTTAGATACAATATCTCAAGGAATTGGACAAAGCATGTGCCATGCGTATACACGTGACAAACAAAGACATAATAGGAACACAGCATCCAAGGTTAGCAAATGCCGCCAGGCTCGAAAATCCCCAAAATTTGTAAAGCCTGAAATGCGAAAACATCGGCAGAGCTCAAAAATCCCCAAAAGCCCCAAAACCATGGCATCTATGCGGAGTGCGGGGCCATAGTCTCTCATATTTTGGGGATTTTGGGAATTTTTGATCCCTGCCAGTGTTTTCGCACTTCAGGCTTCAGGAATTTTGGGGATTTTCGAGCCTGGCAGTGTTTTAGCATCCGAAGCTGCCCACCTCCCATGATCCACTGCTTACCAAAAGCAAGCATAGTATGGATCATGGGGGGGGCGTAAGCATATATATATATATATACATATATATATATACACATCCAAATAGATATCCGGAATACATTATGGTAATAATGTACAAGTAAAGTTCGAAACTGGAAATTATCGTCAGTCCAGGCACCAGCAGCCAGCAGCAAACTGAAGCCGCTGACCCAGGCTCCAGCCAAACGAGTATGCAAACACGGTATTGGGAGCAAGATGGAAGCCACGACTACTACATAACTACATTTTGAAACCGGACTTGATGACATAACTACATGATAGCACCACTGTTACCTGAACCAACTGCAGAACCTGTTTCCTAGCACCCAAGAGCCTGAGGCATCCCCCAAATTAGCATCCTTTTGTGGGATGGCTGGGCTTCAGGCTGCAGACGTCAGCCACAGCGTGCCGGCCCAGCCTTTATTGTGAAGCGCTGCTACTGAGAATCATAGAACAAACAACATCATAGAAAAAGAGACAATAATTCCTAAGGAGACTACAGGTGCAGGCATGGACAGATCATCATGCCTTGCTTGCACACATCGTGCCCCGGCCACAAAGGCTCAGCCTCTACATCAAACTGGATCTTGGTTCCCGGAGCATGCAAACGTCAGGGTTCTTTCCAGTACACTTGCAAACAGGCATTGCTTCCAGCAGTTCGCCCGACAAGGGATTGAAAAGGCTTGCAACCCGAACACACACACACACAGACACACACACAAACGCAAACACGACGTTCAACATTTGCAGGACAGCGAAGGACCCTGAAAGCTTAAGTGTCCGCAGCATCTGCTACATTGCTCGCATCATGTCGTGTAGCATTGCCCTCAGCATGCGAACAGTGACCTGAAGAGGGCGTTTCTCGTCGCAAGTTACATCGTGGCTATACTCTCGAACTTGCCGCTAGGCTTGACTCGCTTGCATAACTTTGATCCACACGAGAGTTGAGCCCTCTGTCCGAGCTTGTGACTTTGGATGGGAGCACTCATTGAGGCCCTGGCTGCAAAGCCTGAAATTTCCTGGCCGCATTCTGTACCTCAGGCAGCCCATTCCCGAAGGCAAGTGCACTAGAATGTAGGGGCCTTAATAGTTAGAATCTAGTTCCGGGGCCCATTACACTATAGTTAGAATGATCGTTCCCCCCTAGCATTAAAACCCCGCCCTCCCTAATATCAAAACTGGATTTCGGTGCCGGAGTTTTTATGTTAGGGGGATTTCGGGGTATCTGGGTATGAGTCGAACTGAGAGTAATCAAGAGCCAGACACAAAGACTGCCCATCACGCAGCCGTTCCGGCTGTGGAGCAGACAGCCCCGCGCTAAACCCCAAAGCCCTATACCCTACAGCCCCAAAGCCCTACAGCTTAAGCCCTAAACCCCTAAACCCTAAAGATCTGGTCTCTTCGGTTGGATTAGTAGTGCTGTGGTCTTTGGCTCTATTTTGACTAATACAATCCTAGCCCCCCCCCCCCCCCCCCCCCAATGTTGTTAATTAACTTTCAATTGCGGGCCCGAAACCGCGAGATTCCGGGGGCTCGGAGTTTTTATATTAGGGGGGGGTTAATGTTAGCGGGAAGCGATTAAGGAACCCCAAAATAGTATTGGTAGTTACTGAGGCCCCGATATGAACTAAAGGGACTGCGACGGGAAGCAGCGGGTCGCCCTGAGTGGTCTCTATCATGTTGGGGCTTCCTAAGTCCAGCGGCTAAAGTCCTCCGGCGACACTTCGCATGAACTGTGCCGCCAAGCTGCATATGCAACACATCCAGCTTCAGCGAATGAGAACGGTAGTCTAGCTATGCTGGTGAAGGACGCCCCCGGCCCTCCGACAAGTGAATGTAGCATCTTCCTGCTCCGGCTCACTATTCCGAAGATTACCGTATGGGGCCCGTTCAAAGCTTGAAAGACCAGACAAGGGTCTGTATCTGAGATGTACTTCGGCTTTCACCAGGAATAACAAGCAATCCCTCCAACATGGTAATGCACACATGAGGCCTTCGAGGGGTTACGAGGCCTGAAGAGCCAAAACAGGAATCGGCGAAGCAAGCACTGCGAAGGACTGTCGAGCCTCGACCATCACGGATCACTGCTCCGGAATGCGCCCCCGCCCCCTTATAGCACTCCCTGCTGTGAACACAAGACCTTTCTACAAGCCTTAGCCAGCTGCCTAGCATGTTAGTTGGACTTCTTGGGGGAGCCCGGAAGAGTCAGAAGGACTGTCGGATCGACGGAGCAACAGAGAGCGAGACAAACTCGGAGAGACAGCAACGGAGAGGAAGAGATGAAGGCAACGTGCTTGATATGTTTTTTGTCATCGCGCTATGGAATCTGAGCTCCCGAGCAATCCGGGCATACAGCCAGGAGCCACAAGCATTCTGCAAGTTTTTCGGCTGTAGGATCTGTATGTTAGAAGCTAGCACAATGCCACTTCATGCCCCTACAGCCTGCAGCGACGCGGCCATACACACTGAGGCCACAAGCGCAGAATCTAATGCTTGTATATCGGCTCATGTAAGAAACTGTGTGTTCTGAAGCTCCACAACTTGCCATGTATGTGCAGGATGCAAGTGAACTCCCGACGTGCGTCTGGAAGTGGCATCTTCGGCCACATGCAAGCCAGCAGGTCCCACATCAATGGCTCATGCTGAGTAGGATCTAGGCCGGGAGACCTGCTAACTGCCAACAGCAGGTAAAAGGAGCATAATACAGCAATGGCCAGGACGATCTCCCCGAGGCAAACAGCCCCATATGCAACAAGTCTCACATTTCATTACCTTCCATGTCTGCATTGACATCCTTTTCGCTACCTTTCAAGGGCTCCACGACTCAAGAAGGCTAGGTGGTCATCCGGCATCACACTTTGGAAACCAACTTCCTGGTCCATCCCCCAGAAACCCAAGAAGCGCGAACACAGGGTACATGCCTGTCTTTGCACACAACATGCAGCAATCTGTCTATATGTATACGGATGCAGCTGCTATCAACAATAACACCTATAATCATCTCTACACTTCATAGCACTTTATAGACGAAGTAGTACCGTACATCAAACAGATCTATTCTTACCTTTGGTTAGCAGGGAATGGAGGAATGGGGTACAACTATAACTACCATTACTACCATTCTTCCATTCCCTACTATATGCTACTAATGATCAACGGAGAAGTGTCCTGAGAGCCTGTGCTCCGACCTCGTGAGCTTTCGGCTTCTTTGTCGATGCTTTCTGCTTCGCAGGCTCTGGAGAAGAAAGGCTTTGGCACCTGCTGATTAGGGTTTAGAGCTTGTAGAAGTAGGCGAAATCGCTGAGGGTCCTTCAAATTAGAATAGCGTTTTGGGGGGCCACTGTAATGATAATAAGGAACCCCCAACATGGGTCTGGGGCCTATAGGTTCAGGGGAAATCGGCTTAGGGGTCAGACAACGTCCCAGGGGTTTGGGGTCTACTAGTTCATGGTTGGGATAGGTTTAAAGTATACAGTTTTATTCCCTATTGGGTTTAAGTCCCGATAGAAATCTAAAATGCTATCCAACTATGACAAAGTCTAAGGGCGCTGTTGGCTCCGGTATCCACAGCAAGCACTGCAGGTGTCCTAGGGTTTTGGGGTGCAGGGGTTTCTTTTCCACCTGCCCAGCTGACAGGCGATTTTCGGGTAGGGCTTGGGCAGTTGGGGCGGAAAGGGTTTTCGGGTTGTTGCTGCACAAAGGCTTTAAAGTTTAGGGTGTTGAGACAGTTAGAGAAAGTGTTGGGTTATATTGTGCTGTCAGATGTGGCGTTTTGCTGCTCCTCTCCCCCTAGACTACAATATGCTTCGTTTTGGGTTCCCTTGGAAACACTGCTGCAGGTGCAATTCGGCCTCTCCACGATTCTCTTTCTGTTCGGCTCTGCCATGAAAGGAGCATGGCGCATGCCGGCCAAAGGTACTAAAGCGAATCTTCCTTGGCGACGCCGATCAGATCATACTAGGGCACTCTCACATGGAGAAAGCTACAGTGCGAGTAGCTGTGATTCTCGTCACGACGTTTCCCGTTGCGGCATCAGCAGCAGGAGCAACACAAGTTGGAGCAACGTGGCAGTACATAGTCGTCCTAATATTCCACACGCACGCAATTGTGGAAACCCAAATGTGTATGACGTGGGACGTAGACCTTCCTCTTCCTGTTGTTTCCGTTCTTCTAGCCAAAACAGTCCCGCGATGCATGGGAACTGGCTTGCTTGTCGCCAAGGAGAATTTGAAACTTTCCCTTTCGGCCCGAGGTGTGGCTCAAGAGCTCAGGAGAACTCGTAGTATGCTGAGCTACAGGGTGGCGTTGTGCACTCAGTCCAAGCCCTAGCCACAGCCACAACTCGTCTGACATTGGCTCATTGCGACCTTGGGTCAATCCATCGGTGGTGCACACGTCTCCTCCAACAGTTTCCCTATCTAGGGTTTAGGGTTTTTATATAGCCTTGTTGAGAGAATAAGGCGTCAGAGGAAGCACAGGAATCCAGTTGCCCGTGAGTCAGGCCTGAACTGCATGGACAGCAAATGCAACACGATGGACTCACGTACTAAGTTGCTTGTCATGCCAGCTGGTCTGAGGTTTATTTAGTCTATGGTCACAGCTATTGAAGTTGGAGGAGCAACTGAAAGGTGCTGAGCCATTTTGCAAAACACCCTTCGCAGGCGTGAACTGGCCTTGTGTGTGCGACGCTCAAGCCACCGCTCGGGTGAGACGTCCAGGAACAGGAAGTGTGCGGCAGCATTTTAAGCTTTCATGACATCAGCTAGCGCCAGGCCAGCGAAACAGCTCCACATGGAGCCATAGATCATATACAGGTAGAGCATTCAGCAGGATTGCTTTCAAGCTTCGGGAATCGATGCGGGCGCAGGCTCCCGGGTAACACATTAAGCTGACGTCTGCAGAGAATACATGTCAGGCTGGTACAACCTCCCGCGCGGTCGTGCCAACCACCGCCTTAAGCAGCGTGAGAAAAAGTTGCATGAAGGCCAAGTTGCTAAGCTGCTATGTATACGCTTTCGCAGGACCAACATATGCTCTTGGCACCCATACCCGCCTTCGCGCCTTCAACCCCAGTTGCGGAGGGCAACATTCTGTCGACGGGTGAAACTGGTGAGACAGGATGGGAGGTAGTTGGTGAACTGCAATCAATGGATCCCTGCTGGTCAGCCAGGTACCCAGGCGCGTCTACCTCGATGACCTGCATGAGCCAAGCGGTGGTCTGGCTGTCTGCTTCTGTACTTGCACAGACCGTGCGAGATTGCGTGTGTGTTTGTGTGTATGTGTATCTGCGTCTCTGAGCACATGCATGTGTATAAAGAAGTAATTAACTGGAAATGTGATTGTGCTTGTGTAGTGTCCTGTACCTGTGTGTACATGTACGCTCACACCTGTGCACATGTCTGTATATCTACACGCTGCGTGTGTGTATGAATACTTCCACATGTGCGCGTGTGTGTGTGTGTGTGCCAGTGCATGTATATCTGTATATATATATATATGTATTATGTACATATATGTAGATATACCGGCATACAACATAATATACACCAACGTAGTACCTACCCCTGCCGACCGAGCTACCGACCAACCTCCCGGCCCGCCCGTCTGCCTAATCTACCGACCTCCCTCCCCTGCCTGCCTTCCTACCTACCTTCTCACCCTTGCGCCACTCTGCCTCCGGCTTTTAATTACTTACTGCTTACTATACCGTCTTACCTTGCTTGCCTACAGACCTATCTATGTATAAATATCTATATATATATATACATATATACATATATACATATGTATGCAGATACTTACTTGCATTTTGCTATTCCTTGTTCGTCTACATAAACACACAGGTAGAAAGACAAGCTAACTTCAATAGGGAGCGAGGGAGGGAGGGAGAACCAGACACGATCCAATCAATCAACAAACACTTCGGGGCATCTGATTTATTTGACGGTCTCCACGACTCAAGCAATGGCCTCTCACTTGGGGACTTAAACCAACAGCTCTTTGACCTTTGAGCGCGAGGTATAGATAGGGAGCGACACAAGGACACAAAAGCCGCGAACAATGGAACTTAACGGAAGGAATGCCGGAAAGTTCCTGGGAGTCGGTCCCCCAGCACTCTCAATGCTTCTAAGTTCGGCTCAAGTCTCTTATTGCGGTTTTGTGTTCAGGGTGCCCGGCAAGGCAGTTGGCTCAATGCTCTTGCTGCTGGACGAATGATGGAATTTCCAATTCACAGCTCAAGGCCAGTAGCACAGCTTGAAGCAACGACAGCGAAAATGCAGCCAGAGCTCACCTTTTTCAAAACATGCTTGACACCACAGGCGCCAGAAATTGAAAGTCGCACTCCAGGAAAGCTCAGCTAGGTCCAGAAGCATGCCGCTCAGACTGGAGAAAGCTATCATTGCAATCGTTGCCAAGTTCGAAAATTTTAAGCTTTTTTGCTGTGGAGCTCACCTGGCTAAACTCAAACTGCCACGAATTCGCCTACTCTGCCATTGGCAGAGGGCAAGCAACGACATTTTTCACTATTCTCCTCTTGGGATGCCAAGAATAGTTCAATGTGAACCTTCGGGGCTGTGGGATCTATCTTTGCATCTTCCTCGCAAGATGTGCCCAAGAAATAGCAAAAAAGGCATTGCCGCACTGTGTAGAAACGTGTGAAACAACGGTGCTGAAGACGCTCTGCGGCACGGAAAGCACACTCGTTATCAGCAACAGGTGCATCTCCGACAAGCTTGAATGTCCAACCGGGTTGGTGATGCTCAGAAACACTCTGAAACCTACTTTTTTGGCCGTACTCATTAGAATAGGGTTTGGGGGCCCAGTAAAGAGGAGCCCGCCAAAAATGTATTGGTCAGTATTTCGGCCCCTATGTTAGCGAAAAAATGAGCTCCCCGAACCATGAACCCTAAACTCCCGAAGCTCTATACCCCAAACCGCATTCATCCCTTCTTCAACACCTGCAAAAGCTGCTCGGCAAGCTCAACGACACGCGCAGACTGCGGGTGCGAAACCAGCGCCGACTCGGCCAGTGACTGGCCTTGCAGAGCAGACGGGGCAAAAAACAAGACAATATGTGTATATATATATATATATACACATATGTATTGATGCATATACACATGTATATATATGAAAACAACATATCCATCTAAGTTCATATGACAATACATCTACACACATATACACATAATTATACACATGTGCGTGGCGTTGGGGGGTTCGTTTGGTTTGGGTTTAGGATTGCAGTGATCGACATGTAACTTCAGTGCAGATGTTGAAGACATATGTACAGTGCGAACTATCAGACTGATCACGTCCTCCCGGCTAGCATCAGAACCAGGCAAATGGTAAATATATACCATCTGCCTGCCTTGCACAGTCTTTCTCCAGGTCATATCAACTGCCGGAAACTTTTGCATCCAGGCCTATTGCGACTGCCGGAAACTGAAACCCTAAACCCTAACCCCTAAACCCTCTCAAAAGAGTTGCTGAAACTTTCACAGGCGACCGTTGAGGTCTGCCAATGCCCCCACGCGCTCCGACTTCCTCAGTCCGTGTTGAGGTGTGAGGATACAGAGGAACCCGAAGGAATACGATGGAGAAAACGTAACGCACAAGGAACCCTATCTCTGAACAGAGATCTCGAAGGAATACGACGGAGTATACTAAGGAACTCTGTATTGTACATATTTGGATATGTATGTGTGCATCCTACTGAAACATAAGTGTGTGTACGTACATACAGACAGCCAGCCAGCCGGCCAGCCAAGCCAGACA